CAGCAGAAAGAGACTTCTGTTTCTAAAACATTCCTGTAATTTGCTATAACCAAAAGCTCCCCACTGGTTTGCATCACCAGAGGCTCTGCAGGAGAAAGACGGGCAATCTCCTCCCGTGTGATTTACAGTCTCTGAAAACCACTCTAGGGTCAGCTAACAAAGGATATATTTTAAGCCCAACTTACATGTATCAATATACTCAAAAGGCTAAAAGTCATATAATCTACTTTTTCAGCCTCCTAATGAGCGTTGGCTGAGCTGTCATTATTCAATTATAATGATGCTTTGAATCACGCGGCTTGGTCTGCACGTGCTATGACACTTATTTTTGTTGCTGCTCATATTTTTATAGCCGCTAGTTTTGTTAGAATTTCTGGTATTTTAGCTACAGTATGGTGGTAATTACTACTTGTGAACCTGTATCGATAACTTTTTGAGAATGAAGTAGTAATTAAAGGAAATGGAGAAAAATGTTTTCCGAAAGGCTTCCGCTCAGTTCCTCTTAATGCTGTAACTAATAATGCTATGTATGATTCAATGTAGGAAGAGTTTACAAAATAATTTGTTTGTGTCATGTATTATGGTGAGATTTTGAGCAGAACCACTCATTGCTGGCCATGCAGTGGGTTTTCACAAGAGACTGTCCATCTTTTTCCTCCGGAGCAACTGGTAAATTTGAACCACCTGTGTTTGGCTTGGTGGCACAACACTAGGTCACCAGACCTTGTCCACGTGAGGTGGCACTGTGGCTAAAGTGCTTGGATGCTAACCAAAACATCCCCTGGCCAACCTACCCGCTGCTCCGAGGGACAAGGCTATAGCAGTCTGCTTGCATCGAGATTACAGCATTGAAAACTCTAAGAAGCAATTCTAGTCTGTCCAGTTGAGGTGTTTTGATACAACGACTTCAATCAACCTTGGGCCTGAGCATAACAGAGATAATGAGGGGGGTGCAGAGTAAGGCAAGGTTTTGTGGATTCGGTGTCTTTTTAAAAAATGTGTGTATTTTATTTTATACTAGTTTACTCACAAAGTTCATAAAGTTTGTATACATTGTTTTTTCCCACAGAACCATCCCCTATCCTTTACCCATCCCTCCCTCCACCCATCAAGTTCTGTGACCCTGTGATGAAGCACCCCTCCTCCCCTCCTTGCATCCTCATACTCATTCTACAATAATGGTCATATACAGTATGTATTTTTATGAGACTGAGTTAGCTCACTCAGCATAATGCTTTCTGGTCCCTCCCATGTTAGTTAGTGATTTACCAAATCATTGCTCCTGTGTGCTGCGTAGTATTCCATCATGTGAATGTACCATAATTTCTCAATCCATTCCATTGTGGTTGGACATCTGGGCTGTTTCCACAGTCTTGTGATGGTGAATAATGCTGTTATGAACGTTGGTGTACAAGTCTCTGTTTGTGCCTCAGTTCCCGTTTTCTTAGGGTATATTACAAGCAGTGGAATAGCTGGATCATAGGGAATTTCCATGTTCAGCTTTTTGAGGAAACGAGAAGAGCAAGGTTTTGATCTGTTGATCACAAGGTCGTTATGAATCATTGTCGCCTTGACAGCATCTATCAACAGTAGGGTTGGAATCAAGTCCATACCAGTGTGCTTAAGCCATTCATGTGACTTAAGGATCATTACATTAAAGCATTACTAAGGTTTCTGTATGCATCTCTGATAGCGTAGTCTGTAGGGAGTCGAGCTGTTAACCCAGAGACTACATGTACCTCTTTGCAGGTTCAAATGGACCAGTCGCTTGTCCAGAGAAAGACGGGCAGGCATTCTCCTTTTGTACAATTTATAGCATCAGAAAACCAGCTAGGAGTCAGCTCTGAGTTGAAAGCAAAATGAAAGGAGATAGGGCAACAGGGGGGGACTTCTCATTATGGAGGTTCACCCATTCAGATTTGAGACCCCTCCCTCTCGCCCAATAGCTAAAAATATAGTCCAATGTCAAAATAGCTTTACCTGGCTGTTAGGGAAATTCAGAAAACTTTGAGCAGAAATTGGGATTCTCAAAAAGATACCTTTGCTGCCACCCTCCTCCAAAGTTAATTAAGTGTGGTGGTGAGACTCATGCTGTTTGGGATATTTATGTAATGAAAAGATCTTCTAAAAATAATACCCAGAGGCCCAGCTCACAAGGCCGATGGCTGAGCCAGCTGGAGCAGCAGAAGGTGATCGGCCGTGATCCCAGCATCCACACAGTAGTTATGATTAAATGAGGCTTCTCATATTCAGGTTGCAAAACCGCTCCAGGCAGGAGCTTGGGAGAAGCTTAATTTATGTCACATGGAGATTAGCTTGCTTCTGAGAGAGGTTCAGCTGCTCCGTGACCTCAGGAGAATGTCTGCTAGCTGCTCCCAGAACAATCAGGATCTGCTTTTGTGAATGAGTCCAGGAACAGAGCGGGGCCCCAGCTTGCTTTTCATGCCTTGGAACCAAGGAACATCGTTATTAGGTGGGACTCTCTGGGCACATTGGGGATGCTTCAATGATAGCGTTCTTGCCTTCCCATGTGAAAGGCCTGGGTTTGATTCCCTGCCAGTACATCTGACGCACCTGTTTGTTAGTTAAATGTTGCTGTGGTGCTGATGAGGTTTCAGTGGAAATTCCAAACAAAGACTAGGAAGAAAGACCTGGAGATCTCTTTCGAAAAATCAGCCAGTCAAAGCTCTATGAATCAAGCCACCATGGAAGTGGTGCAGGACCAATCAGGACTGGGCAGCATTTCCTTCTGTTGTGCATGTGGTCCCTGTAAGTCAAAGACCAACTTGACAGCAGCTAACCAGATCAGGGGTAGTGGAAGAAGGATGGGCAGTCTCCTCTCATGCGATTAACTGCCTCTGGAAACCTGCTGGAGGGTCAGCTATGGGTCGGTTCTGACTCTATGGTACACCACAACAACAACATGACATGTGCAACTTGTGGTGTCTGCAGTGGGAAGAAAGAAAGGAAGAAATAAGCTAGAAACCACCTGAAATCCAATGATAGGGAGATGATGAAACAAACCCTAGCCATCCTTTCCCCCTTCTTCCACAAGTTATTATGTGGTCATTAGGGAGCGCTGGTGGCCTAGTGTCAGGAAGCTGCGCTGCAATCCCAAAGGCAGGCAGTTTGAATCCACCAGCTGCTCCATGGGAGAAGGATGGACAATATCCTCCAATGTGATTGACTACCTCTCTGAAAACCCACTGGAGGATCAGCTGTGGGTTGGTTCCTACTTGTTGGTACTCAATGACAACAACAACAGGAAAGGTGATTGAATTCTAGCCCAGCTGACCTGGACAGATAACTGTGAAACCAAGACAAGCAAACCAGTTGCCATCTCGTCAGTTCCAATTCATGGCACTGCTGTGTGTTTCAAAGCACAAACGCTCCACAGAAGCAGATCACCAGGCCTTTTCTCTGAGGTACTTTTAGGTGAGCTCAAACTGCCAACTTTTCAGATAGCAGACAGGTCTTTAAACCATTTTAGTGCCATCCAGGGTCTCCCAGGAAACCACAGTGTGCTGCTAAATTAGAGGGGCGGGGGAAATAAAAAGACTAAGAGATGTATTTAGAGTAGGGTGGTAGGGTGTGGGGGAAGGGGCTGGTTTTGTACAGCCCAAGAGCTAAGAATGGCGTTTACATTTTTAACTGGTTAAAGAGGGTGCAGGGATGGAAATAAAAAGAAGAATAACATTTTGTGACATGTAAAAACTATATGAAATGCAAATTCCAGCCTCCATAAATAAAGTTCTGTTGGCTCCCTGCCATGCCCATCCGTTTGCACGCTGTCTGTGTCTGCTTTCAGGCTGTGGTAGAAGAGCTGAGTAGTCGCGCGAAGACCATATGGCCTGCCAAGCAGAAAATAGCCACTCCCGAGTCCTGCTCAAAGAGAAGTTTATTGACCTCTGATTTAAAACATGATGACACTTTGCAAAACAGCAATGACAGACACCATTCTAAGTGCTGTGCAAGAACACACTCTTTGCGTTCACTTATGCCTCCATTCATGTTATCATTTATTCATTAGATGCTTAATAGCTACTCACTGGGCCACACCTTCAGCACTGGCAGGGAACAAGCAGACTCCTGGAACTTGGAGTTTATGTCTAGAGCTTTCTTTTTCCAATATAAACAGTTCCTACTCCCTCACAAGGGAGTATTGTGGCCTAGAGAGTAAAGAGTTGCATTGCCAAACCAAAAGCAGGTGGTTTGAATCCCCCCATTGTTCTGCAGGAGAAAGATGGGCAATCTCTTGTGTTATTTACAGTCTCTGAAAAACCACTGGGGAGTCTTTTATGAATCTGTTAAGACCTTATCAAGACTGGTCTTTGAGACCCTTGCAGTCTGCCACCCTCCCCCTGGATACCTAAGGAGGGTATCCTGAGGACTCGGACTTCCTGGTGTCTTACAAGGAGGCTGAGTTCTAAGACTAACCATGAGCTGGCCCATGCCTTCAGTCTGGCTTTCAGGGGTTCATCATCTATCTTTCTGTTTGCAGCCTCAACTCTCCAGTTTTCTCCAAGAGAGGAGATACCACAGACCTTGAATCCGTTCTCATGGATGAGAGCAGACATGTAAAGAAAGATGTAGCCATGTCTTCACATGGCCACTCCTGCCGAAAATCAAATTCACCTCCAGACACACGTCCCAATGCCCAGGTCTTTCTCTAATTCAGTCCTGGAAGGAAACCAGCTCTTCTTGGAGTGATCTGAAAATTGGAGGTTGAGCCACGAACCTGACTTCAAGACCAACATTTACCTCACCCCTGTTCATGCCCAACACCTTACAGCAAACTGCTTTATTTATTTCTAGAAAAAACAGCATTGCACCAATCTTCGAAGACATCCTACCCAGAGCCTGCCTGTTCCCCAAACTGAACTCTTTCTTTTGGCTCTGTCAGCCCCCCAGAGCTCAGTGGTTGATATAATTGATACTTTGGGGAACTGAAGAGAAGCCTCCTGGGACCGAGGTCTGAGGACCCATTACAGGGTCCCACGATGGCGGCCTGTAATGACCCAACCTTCTCTGCTTCTAAGATCACCATCTGCGTGTTACTCATAATCCTCATCCTCATCACCGTTGCTGGCAATGTCATTGTCTGCCTGGCTGTGGGCCTGAACCGCCGGCTCCGCACCCTGACCAACTGCTTCATTGTGTCCTTGGCCATCACTGACCTGCTCCTTGGCCTCCTGGTGCTGCCCTTCTCTGCCATCTACCAGCTGTCCTGCACTTGGACCTTTGGCCAGATCTTCTGCAACATCTATACGAGCCTGGACGTGATGCTCTGCACGGCCTCCATCCTCAACCTCTTCATGATCAGCCTTGATCGGTACTGTGCCGTCACTGACCCACTCCGCTACCCTGTGCTCGTTACCCCCATCGGGGTCGCTATCTCCCTGGTCTTCATCTGGGTTATCTCCATCACCCTGTCCTTCCTGTCTATCCACCTGGGGTGGAATAGCAGGAACAGGACCACCAGTAACAACCAGACCACCTCTAACTGCAAAGTCCAGGTCAATGAGGTGTACGGCTTGGTGGACGGGCTCGTGACCTTCTACCTCCCTCTGCTCATCATGTGCATTACCTACTACCGCATCTTCAAGATCGCCCGGGAGCAGGCCAAGAGGATCAACCACATCAGCTCCTGGAACGCAGCCACCATCAAGGAGCACAAAGCCACAGTGACCCTGGCGGTTGTGATGGGGGCCTTCATTGTGTGCTGGTTCCCCTACTTCACCGTGTTTGTTTACCGTGGGCTCAGAGGTGATGAGGCCATCAATGAGGTCATTGAAGACATTGTTCTGTGGCTGGGCTATGCCAACTCAGCCCTGAACCCCATCCTGTATGCTGCATTGAACAGAGACTTCCGCATGGCGTACCAGCAGCTCTTCTGCTGCAGGTCTGCTGGCCACAACTCCCAGGACACGTTTCTGAGAGCCTCCAACTCTCAGATATCCAGGAGTCAAAGCAGAGAGCACAAGGGGCAGGAAGACAAGCCCCTGAAGCTGCAGGTGTGGTGTGGAAACGAGGTTACAGCCCCACAAGGAGCCACAGACAGGTAACATCTCGTGTCATTTTTTATTTGGGTCTGGGATAGGAGCACAGGATCAGGGTGGGAATCCTACTAAGGTCATCGTGGTGATGAGATGGCTGAGTTCATGTGGTGTTGGTTATGTGCGAGCGAGTCCTCCTCATTAGCACTTAGTAACCTCGCCTCGTTTAATCCTCACAAGAGCCCCCTGTGGTTGAATTTTTACCTCCATTTTCAAAGGATCACATTGAATCTCAGTGAACTTGGCCAGGATCACATAGCTTGGACCAGGGCAGAGGGCTCCTGACTCCAAAAAAGTCTAGATTCTTCTTTCTAGTTATGGTATTCTTAAAACCAGGAGTCCTACTTTGAAGTCCACTTCTGACACATCTTGGTCATAAGTGATCACCTAACCCCTCCAAGACAGCATTTCAATACTGCCAGCTGTCATCAAGTCACCTCTGACCTCTAGCCACCCAATGTGTGTCAGAGAACCAGGCGCCATCAAGTTTTCAATGGCTTATTTTTGGGGAGTAGCTTGGCAGACATTTCTTTGGAAGCACCTCTGTGTACATTCAAACCACCAACCTTCTGGGTAATAGATAAGTCACCATTCAGTGGCTCAGCCCTCAGATTGCCAGGCACGAATGCTGCCACCAGTAGGGTTCTGTGAGGATTAAATGAGAAGCCCAGTCATGTTCAGCATTTATTGAGCATCTGCTGTTGCATCAGTTCTTACCTTGGGAAAAACTCAACTCAGTGAGGATAGAGGATTAGCAGATATGGGAAGACTGAATTCCAGGCATAGGATTTGGACACTATTGTAGATCTTGGGGTGGGGAGGGGGAAGCTGGAGGATTGTAAGAAGAGCAGGGGAAACAAGAGTGCTTTGGAAAGAAGGTTCTAGTTGCAGCCCCATGAGTGGAAGGGTGAGATTGCAGATGAGGTCATCAGGGAGAGGGCTGTAACCCCATTCTGTGGAGAGAAGAAACTAGAGCAAAATACAGACTGCATGGGGCCCTACTGGAGGTGCAGGGTACAGGAGATAAGAGAGAGAGGAGGACCCTGGTGCTGAACTGCTCAGAGGGTCCAGAGTTGAGAAGATGCAGAAAATTAGAATGAGACAAACACTGATGACAAGCTGATGCCCAAAGGGAAACCGCACCAAAAAAGTGTGCCACCTTGAGGAAGCGAGGCATCACCTGCTGTTCATCAAATGGGAAAGACGCATAGCATCCCGGCACATAGAAGTTGCTCAATAAATGTTATTTCCTTAGCACAGATCACAGCTTTCCCCATAGAGTGCTGCTCTCAGGGATTGGCCCATTTTATCCATCCATCCATTCATTCTTCCTTCCATCCATCCATCCATCCATCATCCATCCAGCTCTCATTCATTCATCCAACAAATGTTCATCAAATGCCTACAACATGCCAGGACCTATGCTGTTGTTTATTGTTGTACAACAGCCCTAAACTCCGCTCTGTCCTGTGCCAATCGTACCGTCTCTGACACTCCCATCC